GAAAAGGTATGTAGAAAGAGCCAAGGAATTTTGTGGGAACCATAGCCCAGGTGTTCTATTGATTATGATGGTAATAGATGCCTACCTGGACTTCCTGGGGAAGGTGGTGGTAACTGTAGTACATTTCAAGCTATTGTTTTTCTCTTTAAGAGGCATGTAGAAATGGTCACTGCATCTTCACCTTCAGGTCTGGCTTTCTTCATCTGTGCCTCTAGCAGGGATTGTTGTATTTCGTTTTTTACATTGATTCCTCTGAGGTTCCATTTCCTCGCTTACTGTATATCAGTTTCTGTCTACCTTGGCCTCCTGAAGTAAAATCACAATACTATTTGAATGGATAAAGTAATATTTATACATTTAAGAAAATATTGTTTAATAGGGACCTGGGTTTTAGTTCAGCAGGCAAAAGTACCTGCCTGGCAAGAGCTGGGTTGTGTGTTTGATCCCCAGTACCTAAAAAAAATGATTTAAAATGCAAGGAAAGGAAATAATTTCATTTGTGAAGATGTAGATGAACAAAATTTTCAATTAAATCTGTCAATGGCAAATTAAAGAGTTGTAATAGTCGTATTTAGAATCTAAGGTTGTTCAGGCTGGGGATTGAGCTCAGTTGTACAAGGACCAGCCAGGCAAGCACAAGGTCATGAGTTCAATCCCTGGTACAAAAAATAAAACTTCTACAGTTGGCAGCCATGTAGTGCTATGAGCACAATTATTGAAATTGACAGTTGTTCATTCAGTGGCTCAATTTTTTCTTCTGTGTACTACAAAATATCTACAGATAACATGGTTAATACAGTGAATGTTATACTGTCCCCTATACTATGGGTATTTGCTGAGAGTTGTTTTTAGTTTTTATTTTTTCACATACTTGAAACATGAAAATATTTGGTGATGCTAGATAAACTGTGATAATTATTTTTTCATTTTACTCATATATTTCACTATATCCATTAAGTACATTTTATTTGCTACAATTATGATAAGAGAAGTTGATAACTGATTCGTAATGTCATGGGCAGCTGAGTTAGTTAGAAATATAAGCAGTCAGACAGTGACATAGGGGAATGCAACTCCTGACCCAGTATGTTGGGTAAGAATTTAGGTTCTCTAAAACTGAAGAATGAATAATTAGGAACAATGGAGGTAAGAGCAGAATATATTTTTTGAGAGAAATAAACTGACAGGATTTTGATCTAGATGGGACATTTCAGCACTGGGAGGTGGGACCAGTGGACATTTACCTTGAGGTCACTTTCCCCTCTCCTTTGCAACTTACCTGTGGCATGAAAAGACTCCCAATCAGCTACTTGCACATCAGTAATGCCACCTTTAAGCACCACCCCAAATGGAAAACTATATGTATGCCCATACATGACATTTTTATTGTGTATTTTCTCTTTTACCATGCCAAAAATCCTATCATTTGGTTCCCTAAGGAAGATTGAGTGTCTCCTGGGAATCCCTCCCGTTTTGGGTCCCTTTGCTTTAAAACCACCAGTTTCTTCCTCCTGGATGGTTTACTTGCCACTGCTAATATGCATGCAACAGCAGCCTTACTCACTGAACATGGGTGAGATACCTTCTGTTTTTTGGGGGTTTTTTTTGTTTTTTGTTTTTTGTTTGTTTCTGTTCCTTAGCAAGCTTGTGACAGAAAGCACATCTTGCAGTCCCCAAACACGTTTACTAGTTTCCACATTCCTTAGGCCACACAGCTGGAGGTAACATGGAGATTTTTATGTGCTGGGACCCCGCCCTGTGCTCTCTTTGGTTACCTGTCAAGAAGAATGGGTGTTGGGACTCTGCCTAACACCCTTTCAAAATACATTATGATCTCTTATGTTGTGTGTGACCAAGCACAGCTTCCACATTCCTTGGGGGAGCTACAGCTCTTAGTTCCTGAGGTGAAATTGTTCTCTCAGCTCCCTTATAATTCAGTCATGGGGACCACTTCCTGCCCTTAAGAAAACACACCTCTTGGGGCCTGTTCATAACCTTGGTGCTTTTGGCCTCTAAAAGGCTACAACAACCAAAAAGCTGATCTTTTTTTATGCTTTTGTCACAGTGGTGGTAAGTTGGCCAAAACCCTTCATCTTTAGGCCTTCTTCACTTTAAGGACGTGGTTTTCTCTGACTCTGTCTTCTGTGATGGCCCAAGTACTCCTGGCTCACTCTGCTCCCCCAGGATTTCTCCCTTCCCCTCACTTATGATGCGGCTCCTGTCTTTACAGCTTCTCCCCATATCTCTCATACCAAATCCCACTGCTTTCTCAGCCAAAGGTTTCTATACCCCCTGCATCACCCCCTCCTCCTGCTTCACTCCCCAGGGTCTCCAATCCCCCCTCTAGGTTCTACAATCTTTCCCCTAGGGTCTCTAATCCTTCCCCTAGCATCTCTCACAAGGCTCTGACTTCTCAATCCCCCTGCTCTAGCCCTCTGTCCCATCTGACAGTTCTTTTCCTCCTTCCCCTGCATCATCATTTTCTCTGCCTGCCCACCATACTCAGTCTCAGGCATTGCAGCCTTTTGGCAGGCCACATGGATGCCAGCAGCCATGTTGATTACCAACATGCACCTGCTGGGCTCATCTCTACTGCTGCTTTGGGAACAGGCTGGACCTAAAAGATTAACTATTATTTGTGTTCCTTCTTTTTAATTTTCTGAGCTACCTCAGGTTAACCATCAATTTGGTTCCTTTTCTGGTATTCTTATTTCAAGAGATCTCTATTAATTGATCTATAAGAAGGTTCACTCTACTCTATTTACCATAGTTGAAGTTGGCCAAATATATTTGAGTGCATTCTAATTTTATAAGATGATTGTCAGTTTATATATCTGTTGTCCATTTGTCCAATTGTCTGCTCTGTTAGCAGCTTTTTCTTTTTAATTGAGCTCAACAATGTTTTCCTCAACATTTATATTTTCAGATCATGTAATAAAGGTTTATTTGGGTAACAGATTTAAAAGACATGCTTCCACCTAAGTTGCCAGCTGGTCAAAATGATGCTAAAATTGGTTAAACAAAATCCCTTGGGGTGAGGCAACATTAGACCGTTTTCCAATTGATAAATAAGAAAGTGGCCACCTGGGAACTTTTTAAAAATTTCATTTTGATTTCAAAGAGACTAAAATAAAAGAGGACTTAACAAATGATAGTGGACCACAGCAATTTAAATAAGACTGAATCACTGATGAAGAGGTGGACTATATGAACTGTCCAAGCAGGTGGGCCACAGCAGGCGGTCTCTTAGGTCTTCCTATCTGGGCATTATTGACCTGTTGTGAGCACAGTACTGGAGCAGAATGTTTGCTGGATCTCATTTAGTGGTTTCAATGTCATGTGGCCTGGTTAGGAGATCTTTGAGCCATATAATGCTGATGTTGTGGATGGGAGCCCAGAAATAGTGTGCAAATGGCCTAAACCTGTTACAAGTGGTTAGAAGCACTTGTTTCTCGATCCTCAGGTATTTAGTTAGCTTCAGATCCTGAGGTCCTCCAGCATTGGCTGTGGGTCATCAATTGTGCACGTTGCCTCTTTCTGGTTGCAAGAGTGACTCTATCTTCAGTTTGACAGCAGCAGATTCCAGTATCATCTTTGAAATTCTCTGCTGCCTTGGCACCTACACAAGCTCAGTGAGGGAAGGAGCTTGGGGACACCCTGACTCTGATGCATTTTGTAGCTGCTGCAAAAGTACTGAGGAAGGTCTCTGATCTCATTGCTGTGAGAAGCAGACCTAGAGGGTCTGATATTTACAAATGTCTGCGATACAGGGTCTCATAGCCGCAACTGCTCTCCTTAAACTTGTTTTTTTTTTTTTTTGTATTTAGAGTGATCTCCTAAATTTATAGTATGTTCTTTTATTTCCATCTTCATGACAGGTGTTGGCAAAGGTACTGAGTATTTGAAGATGTGTAGTGATGTGCCTCAATGGAGGAAGGCTTCTCAAACACTTGCTGAACTCCTGTGCATCACAGAGAACAATGCAAAATAATTTTGAACATAATTATTTATGTGACACCTCTGCTCACAGACTGTTTGTGAGATGGATTTTTGAATTCTGAGAAAAATGAAGCAGATATGAAAGTGTTATCAAGGGCAGTGTAAAGTGAGCTTGCTAAGGACAAATTCCAGAATCACCTGCCTCTGAAACCCTCATTGAAAAATGCCAAAATTTATGCACTTGCATGGATCTATACACATGATATCCTTCTGAATGGAAAGGAATAGGCGTGTCATCTCTGAATTAACAGCTGATTTAACAGCTTGGCTGATAATATACATTGTTTATCTATAGAAATTCTCTGCAATGGACTTTACTAAGTGGAGTAAAATAGAATCCCTAAATAGAAGTTGTGCTGCAGGAATATCCATAATTAGGCATGAAGGATTTTCTGTGTGGTGTTGATCAGAGGAGAATGGAAAGATTGTGCAAGTGATTGGCATGATACAAGGTGCCAATAGGATTTACAAGTCAGAAGATCTTCACTGAAAATTGAGTAGTTCTTAGGGTAAGCATGAAGTTAAATTTGGCTTCTGATTTCTTACTTGAGATGAATAACACCAACTCTGTCAATATTCAGTATTACACATACCTGTTATTCTAGTGCAAAACTCTTTCAAGTACATCCCTCAGTTTCAATGACAAAATGAAAATAAAGTTTTGTTATCTGTCTTCCTCCAATGCTGGTGGTAACCATTCACAAGAAATATTTTGAGTCATATCCTTAATAAATTGTAGATACCATAACCAAAATTACAGATCAGTTCACTTTCAGAAAACAGAAGCAGCACTTAAATGCAGGCATAAAGGCCTTCAATGAGAGTACCCTGAAGAGGTGAGATCAACATTATAGAACAAAAACTACTACTCATTTATCTGAGTTCACTAAAGAGAAAAATTTATAATGGTGTTGCTACAGGGGAAAGAAACTCCTGATCTACTATGTCTGGTGTGAGTTTGTGCTCTCAAAATTAAAGCATAAATTTTAGGAACAACAGAATTTAAGAGTAGAATATATTTATTGGGAGAAAGAAAGCTGTCTGAGAGAGAGAAGGGGTCCTGAGTGGGTTGCCAAAGACTGACTTTTCTAGGGACTTCTATAGAGTAAAATCATTTTGTGGGATGGATTTAAGGTGGGAATACTGGGAGCTCACAAGGCTGATAAACATAAGATGGGACAGAAATATGGGAGCCAATAAAATTAATAGTTCAGGTAAAAGTGTTTAAATTGGGATCAAATGGGGAAGCCTGTCACACAGAAAGTAGGCATTTTTATGCAGTAGTGACTCTTCAATTAAGGGTTTCAGAAGGTGACTCGACTTCACCAGGATGATAGGAATTATTTGGAATATCAGGCTTTAGTTGAATGGTAACTGCTGACTTCCTCAGAGTGCTAGAGAACCATTTCAAATATCAATCCTTACAATGTGAATACATTTGCTTAATCCTTTGTCCTGAAGTCTGACACTTAGCAGGAAGTGTCTGCCTTCCCTATAGTTCAAGGTATCTGGGCTTCTGCATGGGATCCTTGGAGAACCTAGCCCTGTCTCACTGCCAACATTATTTGACTAACTCAGCTGCCCATTACAGTATTGTTTGGAGAATTGAATACAAATGTCTTGTGCTCTGGCTGAATGATCTGGGGATTACAGTGTACAAAGTATTTACCATTGCTGTCCCCTGATTAACATGTTTTGAAATTTAGTTTTAGTTTATTTTTATCCTTGAAATCAAATGAAATTAGAAATAAAAAGCCTGAGGTAAATCTCTTTGGTACAAGCACTCCTCGGTGGATATCCGCACTGTAGAAGACATTCAGCTCCAGAAGTCTGCACTACAGTCCATCATTTGGGATCCACTCTTGCAGGGAGGGGTTCCTTTCCCTGTTTATTCTTGATTCAGAAGGAGAGCAGTAGAGCAAGACTGAATCACTGATGAAGAGGTGAGCTATATGAACTGTCCAAGCAAGTGGGCCACAGCAAGCGATCTCTTAGGTCTTTTATTTAAATAATTGCTCTGGTAAGGACTTATGTATAAAGCCTTAGGCTAAGTGTGATTCTTTTAATCACAGCATCAGCAGAGGATGAGATGGAACAATCACAGCTTTGAAGCTGACTTTGTGAAGCAATTTTGCTAGGTGATTTAGCAGAATGTGTGGTAGGTGTTTTTATACCTGCATTTGAAGTTTAAGGAAACAGGTAAGTTTAGGTCAAGAATATAAATGTAAATAGGATAGCTGAATCATGAAAATTATGATTTCATTTTTTTTGGACCAGGAAATGTGCATTTCAGGGTAATTTGTGCAGCAGTCTTAAATATGCCCGTATTTGAGTAAAACATAGTGAAACGTGAATGAGCCAGGCATTCTAGGTTCTGAAAGTGGAGGCATTATCAAAACTTTTTTACAATGCTATTGCTGGTGCTTTTTATAGGAAATAAGATAGGGCAATAAAGCATGATAAATGATTCTATAATAATTTAAAACTCGTGCACAAATGAAGAAGCCAAAAAACAAACAAACAAACAAAAAGTCAAAGAAAAAAAGACGAAGAGACAATCTACAGGATAGGAGAAGATTGCATGTTACTCCTTGACAGCTAACATGTAAATCCAATAGAAATTTGAAATGAATACACACTTTTCAGAACAGGTACAAATTGTCAAGAAATAGCTGAAGAACTATTGAACATTTATGCACAATAGAGATATGCAAATCAGTACACCATCTCATTGCAGAGACAAATCACCACAAGATCAAAAGAACACTCATGAGACATCAGGAAACTATTTAACTTTGTTGGTGGAAATGTAAGCAAGTATTTCAACCACTACTGAAGTCAGTGTTCAAAGTATTCAAATGATTAAACATAGTAAGTCCACTAAGTGCAGTGCTTCCTTTAGTGGGTCTCATACTCAAAGATCTAAGGACCCATTGCTGTGATTCATGCATATTCCTGTTTACTGCAGCAATAGTCACTTTTCTGTGGAGAGCTGCAGCAAGCACTGCTCCATCACCACCAAATGCCAATGATGAACAACAAATACTCATCGGTGTACTCTTTTTAGTAAATGATATATTTTATTATGAAATGGGCCCATGACAGTTTATTGTTGTCAAATTGATGATGTATTTGATATATTCATATTTCTGAAGGCATAGGCCTCCAAGATTGTAAAATGGGGATTGCTTATGGGAGCAGACTTTTTTTCCATGTTCATACCTCTCCTAATCCCAAAGACTTGTGAGGTTCACATTCCACTAAAGGTCAATAAATTGGTCAATGATACATAAGAGACTTCTTGGGTATTTGATAAGGGTGCTTGACTAAAATGGATATTTTATGTCAAAAGAGAAATTCAGATTATTGCAAGGATGTCATAATACAATAACATGTACGGTTCTGATTTCGATTTGCTATGTAAAATATGTCACTGTTAACACTGTAGGTATTCAAATGTTAAAATATCCATGGATAGTAGAAAATACATTTCACTTAATGTTCTAAGGTGTTTCATGTTTAGATAAAACAGTAATGTTAAGCTTACTGCCTCTAATGTATTGTATTGTGATCAATCTTTTCTTCTGGATGTCCAACAGCTAAGGTTTAGGACCAAAAATGAGAGACACAAATGGGCTAAATGGATAGCCAATGTTTTGTCCACAGCACTTCAAGCTTGGAGGAGACTCAGGATGTAAAAGAAATCCTGCTTTCATCATCAGAAGATAACCAGTAAGTACCTAGTATTCTGATCAGAAAGATGATGAGACCAAAAAGGAAAGTGACCTTTGATGCAAGGTGTGCTTAAGGAGAGTCACGAGTCACCAGAAAAATCTCCTAAGTTTTCACAGAAATCAACATGGTCAAGCAATGGCCATGACTCTTCCAGGTGGCAGACACTGATAGAAGAGATATGAGGAGCTATGCATGGTTATAAGAGCTGGCCTTGATAGGAAGTAACGAACCCATTGTCCTTAGTGTAATCCTTATGTTAGCTTGATCTTGAACCTTCTGCAGAAAAGTCTGGACTTGGGAGGTACAGTGCAATTCTAAAATATTCTAAAATATTGTCTAAAATATTGTTTGTAGGTGAATCTCATATCACTAACATCATCTAACAATTGCTATCTATGCTGGTAACTGACAACCATTATGGATGGATGGACTGTGCAGTGGTCGGAGCTCTAACACAACTTCTACATCTTCAGCAGGACACCCATCTGTGTATCAACCAAACAAGAAGGGGGGACATGTTGGAGCCATTGAAGCTGAATACTCATGCAGGGCTGTGATGTGGCACAGGCATGATTGAACTGAGAATCAAGAGATGCCTCAAGTGGCAAGATAGGCCACATTGAGGCCACCTAGACACTTTCTGTGGGATAGTTCTCTGCAGTTACCATCGTCTGTTGCTTGGAGTGGGTCTTGAACCTCTCCCAAGATCCTGTTCAGGTTTCCTCCATTTTCCACTCAACTCCTGCCTGCATGAGGTTGGCCAGCTGGCTAGAAGAGTGATGAGCTCTGCCAAGGATCTCTCTCCTCCAGCAGCCCTGAAGACCATGCTGTGTTTCTCATTTCTTAGAGTCTTTTTGGTACACCTTTTTGGCATCTTGTTTTCTAGGAAAAGACTTCAACATGAAACATAAAATGTATCTGTTTTAAGACTCAGCACTGAAATCTGGTATTGTTTTATGATGAGAGGAAAAAGAAAAAGTATCAAACCTGTTTAAGACAATTCATGAATGCAAAAGCTGTTATATTCCACTGTATTTTTTTTGGTTCACCAATGCCAAATCCTCTTACATGACACAACTTTCCTCAAGACAATTATTTCCACTCCAATCAATGACCTACATATGAATTATTTTCTGTAGGACACACACACAGATATGCAGGTTTTATGATATGTCTCCACCAAGTCATCCTGAAGAAAAAATAAAAAATCCAGAGCCATCCCATGCCTGAGAAGAGAAATAGAAAGCTAATATGGCCTTGCTGTGAGCTGGTGGATGTCATATGGGGAATGATAGGGGAACCTAGCCAATGTGCCCATGTTGTGATTCTCTGGAAGCTATTCTGGTTCTCTGAAGAAAAACAAGACAGTAACTTGCACTTCCTGTGAGCTAGCCATTGCATTGGCAGGGAGATGAGCACCACAGTCACCTCCTCCCACCACCAACAGTCTGACTGGTTTAGAGCACATACTGAGTTGATAGCAATGGAGCTATAATAAAACTTAATCTTTGTATTACTTGATTGGCTTTGCAGCCTAAGGCTAGTATTCTTAAGCATGTATTTAAATTGGGAAATGATGGTAAAAGAAGTTCCAAAAACTGCATATCTTTATGGAAATTAAATATTACTCTTCTAGACATCCAACGGGTGGCAGATTAAATAAAGGAAGAAACTTAAAAATATCTACAACCTAACAAGAACATAGATGCAAAATCCTGTATCTTATGGGACTCAATGAAAGAAATCCAAATAGTTAAATTTATAGTAGTCAAATTTCACATCAGGGAATAGAAAGAACACAGTGTTGTATCTCATTCTTCCAGATGAATGGCAAGACAAACACAAATCCCATACAAGGGAGGAAATTATAAGACCAGACAAGAAATTCATGCAATGCAGAACAAGAAAACAATACAAATAATTAATGAATCAAAGAGGTGGTTCACTGAAAGAATAAACAAAATGGATAAACCCTTGGACAACAATATCATAAAAGAAAAAATAAAGACTGAAAACCATGCACTGAGGAATCAGAAGAATAAAATAATTACAGATGCTGTGAAAATTCAGAAGATCATCAATATCTACTTGCAAAGCTTATACTTTCATAGGTTAGAAAATATAGAAATGCACTGATTCCTAGAAACATATGAAATGCCAAATCTGATCCAATAAGATATAAAAATTCTAGAAAATATATTATCAGATTATCAATGAGAATGAAGATCTAATTAAAAATTTATCAGATGGTGGGCATGGTGGTGCAGAAATTGGTAGGCTGAGGTACAAGGATTGTTGTGAGTTCAAGAATAAACAACGCTACAAAGTGAGCTCAAGGCCAACCTGAACTGAATAATGAGAGCCTATCTCATGAGAAAATTAAAAAAAAGAAAAACAATGACAACAGAAAAGCAAATGACCAACATAAAAAAGTCTAGGTCCTGATGGATTTACTGCTGAATTCTACAATAAATGTAGAAAAAAATTTAAGGCCACTGCTGTTTAATGACATTGAAAGAGAAGCTGTTCTCCCTAACTCATTCCTGGAAGCAAGTATTACCCTGATACTAACACCAGAGAAAGACCCAACCAGAAAAAATAAACTATAGAACAGTTTTCCTAATGAACAAGATGCAAAAATCCTTAACAATATACTAGCAAAGTGAATGTAGCAAATCATCAAGAAGATTTTAAAACCTGATCAACTTGGATTCATCCTAAGAAGTCAGGGATGTTTCAGTACATGCAAATCAACAAATTTAAATGTCATATCAACACAGTCAAAAACAAAAGTCACATGGTGATCATCTCAATAAATGCACAATAAGATTCTTATAAAAGCAAGCACTGATTTGTGATAAAAAGCCTACAGTAAATAATGACAGATGACCTTTACCTCAAGCTGATAAAATCAAACAATGACATGGCTGGAGATTTAGCTCACTAGCATAAGCACCTGCCTTGCAATTGTGTGGTCATGAGTTTGGTCATCAGTACTGATTTTAAAAAAAGACAAAAAAATCAAACAATGAGAAAAAAATTCCAGCATCATACTAAATAGGGAATAACTGACAAATTTGATTTTACAGTTATGAAAAGGACATGGATCACTACTATGACCATTCCCATTCAATATAGCTCTGTAAACATTAGGCAGTCCAATTAGACAAAAGAGAGAAATAAGAATAAATATATAATAGAAAGTAATTAAACTATCATTATTCACAGATGATATGATATTGTAAATAGAAGATACCAAAGACTCCACCAAAACAGTCCTAGAATTAATATCCAAATTCAATAATGTAGCAGGGGATGTAGTTGACAATCAAAAATCAATATCATTCCTGTACACAATCAACAAACTCACCAAGAGAGAAATTACAGAAACCACAGCCTTTACAATAGTCTCCCAGAAAACAAAATACATGGAAAGAACCTAATGAAGAAAGTAAAGGACTTACATATTGAAAATTATAGTACTTTGGAAAAAGATATTGAAGAGATTATCATAAAAAGAAAGATATTCCTTGCCCATTCTGTGCATTGTCTTTTCACTCTGTTAGTTATATCTTTTCATGTAGAAATATTTTTAATAAGATGGGGTCCCAGTGGCTGATTCTTTAAAATTTGTATTTTGTTCATGAAGCCTCATTAGTGTTTCTGTTTTAATATTTAGATCTAATCTAGCTTGACTTTTGTTTTTTTCATAGTGATAGACATGTCTCCAGTTTAACTCTTCAGTATGAGAAAAGTCATTTTCTTCAGCACCATTTATTGAAGAGGCTATCTCTCTTCCAGTGAACATGTTTGGCTCCTTTGTCAAACACAAAGTAGCAGAGTGTGTTTGGAGTTCTATTTGCATCTTCTAGTCTTTTTGGTTCATTCTCAGGTCTGTTTTTCTGCCATAACTATGCTGATTTTCTAATAGTAGCTTTCTAGTATTATAGCAAGTCAGGAATTGTGATACTTCCTGACTTGCCTTTCTTGCCCAGCAATGTCTTTGATGATCTAGAGCATTTCTGTTTCCAGATGAATTTTAGAAATGTTCTCTCTACGTTTGTGAGCTATCCTAGTGGTACTTTGGTGGGCAATGCATTACATCTATATGACAGTTTGCAATAAGATTTTTTTGAGTTTTCTCCATATCCTTGAAGGTAGTTTTACTGGTCTCTTATACTCACCACATGAAACATAATAGGTATGATCTTAAGAGTTTCAAACTTTTGAGTTCTTCTTCCCAAGGATATCCACAATAATAGGATATTTTTTCTGTTTCTTTGAGACATGTTTTCCCCATGCAGTTCAGGTTGACTGCGGACTCACGTCTTAGTCCAGTCAATTCACACTGATTATCCTACTTCAGCCTCCCAAGTTCTGGGATTACAGGTGTGCACATAAAACTTGAAAGAATTCCTGGTGTTATTTGAAACCTGAATAAACAGTCATGAGATACACATGTATTCATTAACTGCCATTCCCTTGAAGGAAAAGTGTCCAATATAACACAAAACATCCTTGGAGTGTAGGGAATCAGAAGATGCGTTTCTATCTCTTATGAGCCCTGGATGCCAGGATACACTACTGCAGAAACAGGAAATGTCACAGATAGGAATATGAATGAAATGTGAGCATTAGTATTAAGAATTCAGAGAGTATTGTATTTAAGGATGATGAGAAAAAGACCAGTGAAAAGCAATGAGAGTCCTGGGGAGCTTCACTTGTCCTGACTATAGATCATGCTTTACTATAAGGATGAACATCATAAACAGTGAAATATTCAAACATTATGTGCATTTGACCCTAGAAAATATTGAGGCCTGACACTGTAGCTCAGCTGTATTGTAGCCTGGCATAACAGATGCCATCTTGCACCCTGCTTTTATCTAGTGCCCTGTATTAGATCCAAGAAAATGAAAAATCACTCACGATATAAGTTCCATGAGAAAAGCAAAAGGAGCTGTACCCAAGTAAAAAAAAGTAACATGCTAAGAAAAAAAGCAGGATACAGGTGTCAACCAAAAATTAATTTAAGATTCTAGCTAAATTGTTTCCAACAGGATGTCTTCTGTGATTCTCTCTTTTAAAAATGCCAAACTTTCCAGTTCAGAGTCAATTGTTTAGATTCTGAAATGGGGAAGGGGGTCTGTATAAAAGTGGTTTTGAGCTCAAATATTTAAATTCCAAATTTATTCTCTGGATGCTTGGATTCCTGTACTGTTGTTCACAAACTCACTTCAACATGCAGAAAGATTACTGACAGAAGCAAACCTCTGGATTAAATGTCAGTGCCCCTGAAATGAAAGAGTAATGCTGAAAAGGAGGGAAGAAAATGACAAACCCCATGTGTTATGATGCCCACCTCTTTTCCACAGCATTAAAGAGGCTGAAACAGGAGAATGGCCATGTATTCAAGGACAGTCTAACCTACAAAGTTAGTGAAAGGCCAGCCAGAACTACAAAGTGAGACTACATCTTTAAAAACAAAAAAATAAAAATGAAAAAAGTAAAAAAACCAAGGGAAAGAGAAAGACTATTAAAGGAAAACAAAAATAATAGAGCTGAATGAAAGCTGATCTAAATTGGCAATTATGGAATGATGTTGCAGCAGACAGCTGGCCATGTAGTGGCTTCCTGGCAGCTGTGATAAATACAGAGTTAGGAATGGTACCTATTGTGCTATAGCACAACAGTGAACTCCTTCCTCCAATAAATCTGCAATTTGCTCGAATGAAGAGGTCCAAAAACTCATTGAAATCTTAAACTCAGAGCAAGCACGTAGCTTCATGCAAAGGCTTTCAAAGATTTCTTTGACCACTAAGCTCAAAACCCAGCCCAACATTTTCAGCTTCTATATATGACTATTACCAATGTTTAATTTACCATTGACATATTTAATTAAAACTCTTATTAATCTACATCTTCACAAATGAAATTATTTTCTTTCTCTGCAGTTTAAAACACTGTTTTTTTTAAGTACGGGGGATCAAACTAACAACTTAGCACTTCCCAGGCAGGTGCTTCTGCATGCTGAGCTAAACCCCTGACCTCTATTGAATAATATTTTATTAAATGTATAAGCATCACATTATCCAGTCAAATGGTATTGTGATTTTACTACAGGAGGTCAACGTAGAGAAAAATTGATATACAGTCAGAGAGGAATTGAAACCTGAAAGGTGTCAACATAAAATACTAACACAACAATCCCTCTACAGGCTCAGCTGAAGAAAGCCAGACACAAAAGTGAAGATGCAGTGACCATGTCTACATGCCTCTTGAAGAGAAAACAATAGCTTGAAATGTACTACAGTTATCACTACTTCCTCCATGAAGTCCAAATAGGCATCAATTACCATACTCAATGACCAGAACAACTGGACTATTTTTCCCACAAAATGCCTTTGCTCTTTCAACATCCTTTTTCTGGGTGACTTCTTCCCAGGTTAAATAATATTAGTTGAGCCACTAACTACAAGCTTATAGGTTGATTGTAGTTTGGGACTCACACTCAAGCTTATAGGTTGATTGTAGTTTGAGACTCACACTCTAGTCACATTGTGACTTTGTTGCATAAATGACCCCTAACAATAGGTCTGTGACTTAAACACTGAAGAGCACTCCTGAAAATCCAGGGCTATTCTTCTCTCTTTTTTCCCAGAAAGCTTTTTGAACTTCTTTTGGTTTGTGACTTCATTCCTTAATGTTGTGAGCCAACAAACTTTGTGCATTTGACATCAAACAGGGCAAGATTATACTTGTCCTATTTCCATTTGAATATCAAACATCTGCTAAATGTTCCAAAACCTTTGCATGAAGCTACTTGCTTGATCTGCATTTTTAAAGACATATTTTGTCTTGAGGCCTGGCCTATAACAAGAGGTATCTGCTCCCCCATAGTTGCAAGGTGTCTGGGCTGCTGTGCTGGCCACTTCTAGGACCTGATCCTGTCTCCCTGGCTGTATATTTCTAACTAACTCAGCTGGCTGTGACAACAGGGCTGGGCCCTCAATGGAGCCAGAAAATAAGTTCAGATGGCTTCTAGCATTTGAAGAGACAATAACCTCCTGCTGTGGGCCAAATCTCAAAAGAACAGGAAAGGAAATACAACCAAGTGCTAAGAACCAACACTTCAAATAGTTCTCTGAGCACCCAGAGGAACTCAAGAGTCCCCATCTCAACCCCCTACAGGAAGTGTCCCTGCTCTTAAACAGGCCCAATTAGTATGTGACTTGCTCTCCCATTTGCTCCCAATTTAATCAATTTTACCTGTGAAATTAACCTTATTGGTTGACCACAGTCTTATCCCGCCTTATGCTAATGTTCAAAATTCCTATTTTTTCCCTACTGTGACCCATCTGACCTCATGGTTTAACTCTGTACAAGCTCCTCAAAAAGACAGAGTCATTGGCAACCCACTCAGGACACCTTCTGTCTCTCAGAAGCTTTCCTTCTCCCAGTAAATTTGTTCCATTCTTAAACTCCATCATTCCTAAAATCCATTCTTTAAATTTAGAGAACACAAACGCATACTGGACATATAGTAGGTAAGGAGTTTCATTACCCTATACCATTAACCTGAACCAAATTAACATGACTATACTATATAATGTCTGAAATTTGCTCCTTCTCCTGCAGTTTTAAGTGATTAATACAAATCACAGTGATTGTAGTCCTGGCAATATCTAAAATTGTATACATCAGTCATTATAAATGTTAAATAATTGGTTTGAGTGTATTATTTAGCAAGAACTAGACATTGCCATTGCAGTAGGTTATATCTTATTAAAGAGAAGATTCACCTATAATTGTTCAGAAAAGTTTCTACACAATTTTTCATTAGAAAAACTGTGTATTTTGTCAGTTTCTAGAAAGCATCTATTATATTATTGAAAGCTGTCTGTAGGTCTCTAGGACGTTGGCTGTATTTTGATGCATATTTGTGTTTTGAAATTTATATGAAGATTTATTTTTATCTTAGGATTAAACTTCCTGCATTGACACTGATAGAGTGAAGCAACAGCCCACTGCATTAATTTCCATTGGGTCCTCGTGGCATTTAACATGAGAATTATTGAAGAGATAAATTAGCTTCATAGATACACAAGAATCAGTACTGTTACTGAAAGAGTTTTGGCTGAGACAGGACACTGTAGCCAGTGAGGCAGAACCAAGGAGCTCCTATCTCCCCCACCCCTAGGAAATTACCTGTGACTCCAACTTCCCTGCACCTAGGAATTTACCTATGGTGCCAAACAAAGACCAATGGACTACGTGTGCATCCCTAATGCCCCCTCAGGTTCCACCCCAAACCTAGGTTGCTTATATGCCCCCATGCCATGAGTCCATGAGAGAGAAAGCCTGACTCCAATGGTTAGGGGGTTTTTGTTTTCTCTCTTCGCATTCTCAGAATAAAGGCCTCTTTTGTTTTATACTTCTCATCTTTTGGATGTACTATATAATCTTATCAGTTAGGATTTTGTGGCCCAATAGAGAAGCAGAATATAAGAAAAAGTAAAAGTGTCCTTTCCATTTAAAGAATGTGGAGGGGAGCCTACAGCCACCAAGGGTTTGCCTTTTTTTCTGACTGATTATGGGATTATGGAGAATATGTGAAATTTTGCTCTATGTGGTTCCTGGCACTAACATTGATGTCATGCAAGGAGCTGATAGGAATTTTCTTTGGGCCTCTGGAAAAGGAATGAGGAAGTTGTATTCAGGGAAAAAAAGAGGAAGTAGCCATATGGGTAAGCATGGCTGATTTTGTAAGATCACCATCATGAAGAAGACCCCAAGGAACCAGCTCTCATGAAAAATCAAGCGGTTTTATTGTCTGCGCATGCGAGGGACTCTCTGACCGCACTCCAGTGGGGAGAGGGGAGAGTGCCCGGGTAAGGGAGTGCAGAGTATATAAAGCCAAAAACCACAAAGCAAGCATTGGTTACAGAAGCAGATGGCATTGGTGTTTTGAAAACTCATATCCTGTCTTGCATGGTCGATATTTCACAATGCTCTTATTTTTGAGGATGTTGGACCACAACTTCCCTATCAGGCCAAAATATCTAGTTGTTCTGACCATGTGACAAGGCAAGAGGGGTTTTCTGGATGTTTTAACACTTCATTTCCCCCTTTTCTTGTGAGGATCTCTAATCCTAGAGATTATTAGTAGGTATTGGATCATATTGGTATCCTAAGACCATCATCTTTACCTGGGAGACCTGGGATCGCACCAGATGTGTAATCTTGTTTAAAACGCAAGGGCCAATGGTAAGGAATAAGAGCAAAGCAGCTAAAGGGCCTAGGAGGGGGACAGCATAAGGAACTAGCCCTTGCCATAGGGAAGAGAAGGATGTCCCCAAAGAGTATTTTTTTTCTCTAGTTTTGATATTTTCTCTGAGTTTGGACATGGCATCTTTTATTATGCCTGAATGGTCAACATAAAAACAGCACTCTTCTTTTAGAGTGGCACATAGGCTGCCCTCCTTTAGGAGGAGTAGGTCTAGTCCCCTCTTATTTTGGACAACTACTTTAGCTGACAAGTCTATATGTTCTTGAATGACCTGAATGGTACTAGATAATTTCTGTATATCACTAACAATCTGGTTGGAAGGTTGGACAAAAACCCCTACTACTGTTGCCCCCAGACCTAAGGCTCCTGATATCTCTAAGCCTATCAATAAGGAATAAATTGAATTGCCCTCTTTGAGTGGCCTGTGATGTAATCTAAACTAGGAATGGGGACAGGCTCATCCCCGGGTAGGATCTCTATATCAGGCAACAGGACAGCTGTTACACATATCCCTATCCAGTTAGTTGGGAGGAAATTATAGGCCATATTTCCTCCACAAATAAATACTTGTCCTTTGGCAGTATAAAGGAGGTAGTCTGCTTAACTATGGAACTAAAATTAGTAAATGTGATGAACTCCACATCAAAGTTGGAGGTATCGTTATGAAGACCTCCTTGGAGACAGAGAGAGTCCTTGAAGTCTACTGGTTGTACTCTAAAGGGGGGACCAGCACTAAAATTTAAGTAATCTTGTTTCTCCAGTGTAGCCAGAGAAACACTGTTGGGGATGGCAAGGGGTATGGGGGAGCCCTGTGCCATGCATAACCAGCAATTCTTCAGCCAAATTTGGGTTGGAAGCATTTAAGGCTTTATGAGTGACCTCTAGAATATCATAAGTTTGAGCGTCCAGACCAACTCCCCACGATTTATGCAGCTTATTTTTATTAGCAGCTTTACTCGTTCCTCAACCACCAGAGTTTGTTTTTTTTTTTTTTTTTTTGTGGATCTTATCTTGTGGCCTGCCCCTATCAGACACATGTATAGGGCCACCATGCTCCAGCTCACTGATTATCAACCATGTTAAGACATGAGGCTTGGGCATACATAGAACTTCCTATCACTGTCAAATATGTCAACCAATCACCTTTAACCCTTTTAGCCTTTGTCCTCATAAGCTCAGCAGTGAAGTAAGTTTTGCTATCTATGCTATACATTCTTGTACAGAGTCATAGCAGTAGGAATGCATTTTTGAATACTAAGAACAATTCTGATGGCATGGCCCTCACTGACTGCCTTTGTTAGGTATCACACAGGGGCTTTATCATTTACATCCACCTTTTAGTCAAACCCCCTGTACCTGAGGGTATAGCTACAAGGAATGTTAACTTGCACTCACAATCTGTCCGAAAGACTGTATGTATACAGTTTCTCATTTGTGTGGGAAGGATCTCGATACTTGTTTCCTATTGTATGTATAATTCCCCCCAGTTGGTGTCTTTACCTTTAGTAATATAGCCCCCTCCACAATAACAGAAGCTCCCACATAAAGATCTTAACAATTGTTCTTTGCTTACAGGGGGACCAAAACCGCCATGCATCAATGTTATTGATGCCATCGGCATCAATGTTATTAAAATCAAAGCAAGCAAGCTAAAAAAGTTCATGACCAGCATAATCTTAGTCAATTTTAACTTTAAGGGGTTACCAGTCTGCTATGTAGTCTACTGAGTAAGTCCTTCGTTGTCCACTGTTTCCAGTGGCTTTACGTGAGTGTAGTGAATCTATGCAGTTTTTTCTGCTACCTTGATGGCAGTGGGGGTACTGAGCACCATGGTGAAAGGTCCTTCCCAGCGGGGTTTGAGAGAGTCACGGTGGTGACATTGCCCCAAGACTGGAGTCCCTGGCTTGATTGGCACCTTGAGAGGTGTCTCTGAAGGCAGATCCAGGTTTTTTTGTCTAGTCTAAACAGCTGGTGGATTGAAGTCAACATGGGTTGGAGAGTCTGTCAGGACTTAATGAGATCTTGATTAGTTATTTTAGCTAGTTTATTTTCTGGCAATCTTGGAACCAATGGCAAGGGCCTCCCAACATGGCTTCAATGGGGGAAATTCCAGAAACATATGGGGTACATCTAGCTCTTAGTGCAAAGGGAAGAAGGCTCACCCAATTATCACCAGTTTTTGAAGATAGCTTAGCTAAAATGTCCTTGAGACTTTGGTAAATACATTTTACTTGTCCTGAGCTTTGTGGCTGATAGGCATACTGGAGTTTTAATTAATTTTTAATGCCTGGGCTAACTTTTGGGTGACCCAGGCTATGAAAGCCAGGCCATTATCAGTCCCCATTGATAGTGGGAGGCCAAATCAAGGTATGATCTCATACAATAGCCTTTTAACTACCACTAAGGCTGACTCAGACTTAGTAGGGAATTCCTCCACCCAGCCAGTAAAAGTGTTTATTAATACCAAGAGATAGCAGTACCCCTGTAAATCAGGCTTTACCATGCCATGAAGTCTACTTTTTAATGTTCTCCTGGAACTATTTTTTAATGTCGGGTGGTCTCCAGCATAGAGCTCTTGGCTAAGTTGACTAACAATCACTGTGGGCATCTGGAGCTCAAGGAGGTGGTCAGTTTGCAGAATTTTGGAATAAAAAACCAAGTTCTGAACAATTCCACAAGTTTAGTTTTCTCTAAACGAGTAGTCTGGCGAGCCCAGTGTAACAGCTCCCACCCTAGTGCCTCCAGTAACAGTACTTGTTTATCAGGTAACTGGTATCAGCCCCCAGGGATGGGGGACTTTACTCCTAGTTGAGTTGCTAACTGTAGGTCCTTTTTTTGTGTAGACTGGTTCTGACAAGGTTGGAGGGACTAGCATCAGAGCAGTTACTTTCTTAATTGGCCCCTCTGATGTGGTTGCTATTTTTTGAGCGCCTTGATCTGCCAAACTGTTACCTAAGGTGACAGTGTCATCTCCTGTCTGGGAGTCTTCTAATGAGTAATAGCATCTCCTTGAGGCAACCAGACATCTGTCAGCAAGTCTAGAATCTGTGGAGCATTTTTAATCTTAGTCCCAGCTGAGGTTAAGAGACCTTGCTCTGATAGACAGCTCCATGTACATGTACAGTAGCAAAAGCATATCTACTGTCAGTTAAAAAGGTTTACCCTCCTTCCCATGGCTAGTTTTAGCCTCTCAGTCAAAGCAACAAGCTCCGCCTTTGTGGCAGAGGTGCCAGGTTCTACCTGCTTAACCCAGAGTACCTCCTTTTTGGTGGTCACTGCAGCCCTGGCCATTCATTTGCCATTCGGGATGAAGCTGCTTTCATCGATAAAATAGTTGTCCCAAAAGCTGGTTGGTAAGATCAGCCCGTAGGTTCTGCTCAGTTTAAGGATGTCAGCACACTCATGGAGAGGTGTCTTTTTTTCCTCCAGGTCATCATCAGGCATAAGGGTGCCTGGGTTTAAAGCTGAAGAAGTCTTGAATATCATTGACTCTGGGTCTAGAAACAGGGCTTGACAGTGTAGAATTCTAGCATTCAAAAGCCCCCCCCCCTTTTTTTTCCAGGAGGGGTTTTGATAAGAGTCTCTAAACTGTGAGAGGTTACCACAGAAATCACTTGCCCAAAGTGAGTTTCTTCGTCTCCTTAAGTAACATTGTCACAGTAGCTAGTATTCTTAGGCAAGGGGGCCATACTCCTATCACTGGATCAAGTCTTTTGGAGAGGTAGGCTATAGGCGTCTTCCAAGGGCCCTTGTCTTGTGTTTGGACTTCTTTGGCAATGCCCTTGAGTTTGTCTATGAACAAGGTGAACGCCTTGGTAACATCAGGGAGCCCCAGGGTTGGGGCCTCTGTCAAGGCCCGCTTGAGCTGCTGGAATGCCTGTTCACATTTATCAGTGCAGTTCAGTGTTTTGAGTTTCTCCCTTATAGGAATCATATAGAGGTGAGCTTTTCAGTAACATTTAGCATACAGCATCCAAATGCCCCCAGAAACTCTCATCTGTTTTTTAAGAATTTTTTCTCATAGAGGAATTCTAACACCTTGGTTATTTTTTTGTTCATAGCTTTTTGTAAATTTTCCAGTTCTAAAAGACCTTTTATGCTATCTCTATTAATTGGCTGAGGGGCATTCCCTGAAACCTCTCAAACCTTTGCAATTTTTGTCTAACATGTGGGGCCCACTGAGTTGCAAAGAGAACAACTGGTGATACTGGGAAATCTCCTTACCTCTGGATGTCCAATCGGGGTCGGACAAAAGGAGAACATGGTTTTGGCACTCTGGATCAGAGAGCCGGCTTCATTTGGATGGCACATTGCTTATTCTTTTTCTCCCAGGATGTCACGAAGCAGGCCATCATTTTACTGAAATTATATTCTTAACAAAAAAGGACTTTTTTATAGGTAACAAAGTTGTGCTGCATAATCTCCCAGATATTTACACCAATGCAGATACTTATAGCACATGTATCTTATCTCTAGTATTACCTATAATCTCATTTCAATGGAAACATTTTGCAGCAAAGTACAATCTTATGAATACTTCTACCAAAACTGATCTAATACTGTCAAATTCTGAACACATTTTCTTCTGGTCAAACCTGTTATTTGTAGTACTATAAACCAAGACAAATAAAATTCACATCTTTTTGAGCCTTCTACAATTTACAATATACCACCCAAGCTAAGCTTTTATCTTTTTTTTTTTTTTTTTTTTTTTCACATTCTGGCACAGCCAGACATTTTTACTTGAAGACAAAACACTTTTATTTTGTCTCCTCTTTTTACTATTACTAGTCAATTACCTTTCCTCTCGCTTCTCAGACAACATCAAAACTCTTAACAAAACCCTTGAAGTCACCTTTTAGTAGTCTAAAACATACTTAATTATTTTATGTGTTTTTACCACATAATTTTTTAAATAATGCTGTATTTTTAAAATTAAAACTGTAGCCTTTTAACTGGCTCAAACATAGTACTACCTGGTTTTTACTTGGTAAAGTTGATATGATTCTTAAAAACCATAAATATACATGTATATGTGCACATATGTTTACATTTTAACCAGAAAGAAAAATACTCTTTTTAAAAGGCATGCTGAGCTTGCAAGCAATCAATTGAAGACTTACATATTAAACAAGGTGAAGACTTACATATTAAACACACAAACAAAAGGTTGCTTCATGCATAGTTTGGTGAGCTAAAGGAAATAATTCTTACTATGAACCTTGAATCTAATAAGCCATATGGATCCTGCAACAGAAATGGGCAACACGCCCGTAAGTTAGCAACAAATTTAAACAGGCAAACAATTCTAAATTACAAAAACTCTGAACATAATTATCTAAATCCTGTAGTCCATTTTGGGCTCGTAGAAGGGGTTCCTAGGAGAGAATGTTCAGTTAGATTTGGAGTAACCAAAAGGAGAAAAATTAGAACAAATGGACATACAAACAGACGTATAAGACAAGACAAGCTGCAGCAAAATGGCCTTTGCTCAAAAATTAGTCAAATTTTGGGATCTGGAGGAATTAACAAATTAACCAATGGAGCGGTTCCCCACCCAGGGCAGAGTCACAAATGGCAAAAACAATTGACTCCGTCATCGGGAGGTTTCACTCCCCAAATTAAAGGTGTCCCCTTCCTAATGGAGCGGTTCCCCACCCGGGGTAGAGTCTCAGATGGATGGAATTTGTCCAAAAAAGAACCAAATGACTCTGTCCTCGGGGGGTTCCCACTGGCAAATTGAGGGCATCCCGTCCAAATTACAAATTTACCATGGCCCAAACAAACCCTCCAGAGTACTTACTTTCAGATGTTCAGAAATGAGTCTGTGGTCTTGCTCTCATCCCAGACCGAGCCCCCAAATGTGATAACTCAGATCCCGGTATGAAATTCAAGGAAGCAAGAAATTAAAATTAGGGAAGCAAAGCCTTTATTTCCAGGCCTGGTGACACAGCCTCCAGGAGCCAATTTGGAGACTGCACACCTGACAGCTAAAAGTCAGGGCTTTTATCTTGTAAATCCACAAACAGCTGCTGGTCACACAATGTAAGGAAGGGGATGGGGGTGTGATGCACTACAAAGCTGAAACGGCAATTAACAACCTTGGTTACCTTACTTTAGCACCTTTTACAACTGTTATTTGTAGAGGGCAACAATGGTTAACATATCAATTAGGTAAGATTTTACAATTCTTTACACAGGAGAGCATTGATTAACATATCAATCCTTACAGGTATTGTTATGATACAAATGAAGCTATTACAATCTAATGCAATTAATACAATTTGTGACTGACTACCCAGTAGAGAAGGGGGTTGTCAGGAGCTATTACCTCAGACCTTTGTTATATGGCCTTTTAGGAAGTTAAAACTTAACCTAGTTAGATTTGAAGGCGGAAAAGGAGGGAAAGCAGCAGGCAGGCTTATACAGAACAGGCTTCATGGCATGATAGTTAGGGGGCCTTAGGTTATTATAGTTCCCTTATTTTGACCAACGGTCTAGAGTAACACAAAGAGGGGTTGAGACACTTTGTCCCATGACAAAAGAGACGAGAACAAAGACTGAGACAACAGAGAACACCAACAAGACAAAATACACCACACGTTCTGGCCGGTCACACTCACATGAGATCGGTGAATCCACCACCAATGAGAGGGCAAAGAGACCCCTCCTAAAAAACTGGGAGTCTGAGGGACAAATGGACTCCCAAGAGAATCCTTTTGGGGCATCCCCCAAAGAAACTGCCCTATATTAGGATCGCAAGGTACGGGTCAGAAGTGATTTGGGGCAGTTAAGATGAACGATCGATCACAAAAATGAAACTAAAAGGAATGGCTGTACTTACCCCAAGAGACACTTTGTGGCCGTTGGGGCTGCCCTCAGCGAGGGGGGGGGCAGATCTCACTGGGGCCTCCAAATGTAAGATCACCATTGTGATGAAGACCCCAAGGAGCCAGCTCTCATGAAAAATCAAGAGGTTTTATTGTCTATGCATGCAAGGGACTCTCCAACCACACTCCGGTGGGGAGAGGGGAGAGAGAGAGTGCCCGGGTAGGGAAGTGCAGAGTATATAAAGGCGAAAATCACAAAGCAAGTGTCGGTTACAGAAGCAGATGGCTTGATGTTTTTGAAAACTCATCCTGTCTGGCAGGGTCGATAGTTCACGGTGCTCTTATTTTTGGGGACGTTGGACCACAACTTCCCTATCAGGCCAGGATATCTGGTTGTTCTGACCATGTGACAAGGCAAGAGGGGTTTCCTGAATGGTTTAACTCTTCAATTTGAACTTTAACTCTGATGAACTACCACCATGATGTCCTGTAATTTATTCTAGGGCAAAACACTTTCAAGTACATCCTGCAGTTTGAATTACAAAATGAAAAAAAGAATTTTTGCTATGTGTTTTCTTCCACAGTTAGTGGTAAACAATTCACAAGAAAAGTTTTTAGTCATTTCCTTAATGCATTGTACAAGTAAACAAACCTACAGATCAGTTCATTTTCAGAAAACAGAAGCAGCACTTACAGGCAAGGATAAAGCCCTTCAGTGCAAGTGTCCCTTAAGAGGTTAGATCAACATTTAAGAATACAATCATCTACTGATTTCTTTGACTTCAAGAAAAAGAAAAATTTATAGTGGTATTGCTATAGGGGAATGAAACTCCTGGTCTACTATGCTGGTATGAGTTTGTGTTCTCTAAAGTCAAAATAAGAATTTTAGGAACAACAAAAGTAAAGATAATATACTTATTTGGAGAAAGACAGCTGAGGGAGAGAGTGAATTCATCCTGAGTGGGTTGGCAAAGACTGTCTTTTCCAAGGATTTTATAGAGTAAAATCTTATGGTGAGATGGGTTTAATTTGGAGAAAACTAGGAACTCAAAATGCAGATGAGCATAAGATGGGACAGATCTATGGTTGTCAATAAGATAAATAGTCCAGGTAAAGTTAATTAAATTGGAAACAAATGGGGAAGGGAGTCACTTAGAAAGCAGGCATTCTTAGGCAGCAGTGAATTTTCCCTTAGGAGGTTGGGAGGGTGACTCTTGATAGGAATTAATTACAATATCAGTCCTTAGGATATGGAGACATTTATTTGAATGGTGACTCCTGACTTCCTCAGAGTGCTAGGGAACTATTTAGAATATCAGTCCTTAGAGTATGGATGAATTTGTTGATTTTTTTGTCTTGAGGCTTGGCCCATAGCAGGAGCTGTCCATTGTTGTAACCTAGTTCTAACCAATGGACCTCCTTTCTCTTCTGTATGTGCCATTTCAATAGAGATTAAAATTCCATCTCCAGTAAAGACTTACGTTTCAGCTCCTTGTAAATCCCCCTCCCCTCCCTATTCTTTTTAGACTAAGTAAACTTTAAGTTTCAGTTTCTTGAAATCCCCCCAACCCTCTTCAGCCTATCTGCAATACAATGTGCTGTCTTTTAGAAAAGTTTAACAACAAGGAAGTTACCAAACTGGGTAAAAGTTTGCAACATTCCTGTGGTTTTTGGCTTTAAAACCCAACCTTTTTAGCTGTAAGGCTGGCAGTCTCCAAATTGGCTCCTGGAGATTGCATTGCCAGGCCAGGCTTAAAATAAAGCCTTTGCTCCCAAATTTTAATTTCTTGCTTCCTTGGGTTTTATTCCCGAGTCCAAACTATCACATCCATCTTATTCATAGATGCAAGGTATCTGGGTTTCTGCATGGGCTCCTTGGAGGACCTAGCCCTGTCTCACAGCCAATAATATTTAACTAACTCAGCTTACTATAACAGTATTTTTCTGAAAATTGAATACAGATGTCTTGTGCTCTGGGTGAATAATCTCGGGATGACTGTGTGCAATGTATATAGCAGTTCTGCCCCCTGATTCACATGTTCTGAAATTTAGTTTTAGTTTATTTTTTTCTTTTTATCCTTGAAATAAAATGGATGTGGAAATGAAAAGCCTGAAGTAAAGCGCTTTGGTACACATATTCCTCTGTGTAGCTGAGATCAACATTGTAGAAGACAGCCAGCTGCAGAACTCTCTGATTACAGTCTATCATTTGGGATCCTCTCTTGCAGGAAGGAGTTCCTTTCTGGGTTTATTTTTGACTCAGAAGGAGGGCAGGAGAGCAGCAGTGAATCAGTGATGAAGAGGTGGGCTATATGAAATGTTCAATTAGGTGAGCCATGACAGGCCGTCTCTTGGGTCTCTTCCATTGTCTAGGCATTATTTACCTGTTTGGAGCACAAAACTGGGAGCAGAATACTTGCTGCATCTCATTTCCTGGTTTCAAAGTCCTGGGGCCTGATGAGAAAAGAACCTGGGAGACCCTCTAGCCACAGAATGGTGAGGCTTTGGATGGAAGGCCAGAAATAGGGTGGAATTGGGAGAATCCAGTTACAAGTGTTTAGAAGCAGTTCTGGTGTCTGTAGGCACAGGTATTTAGATAGCTTCAGCTCCTGATGTATTCTAGCATTGGCTTTGGGTAATCCACTGTCCCTTTTTACTCCCGCTGGGAGTAAGTATGATTTTGTGTCCCCAGAACCCTGAGCTAACTAGGAGAGCAACAGAATTGGAGTATCATCTTTAAAATTCTCTATTACCCTGACACCTCCATTATAGGGGGCAGAGCAAGGAGCTTGGGCAGACCCTGACTGATGCATTTTGTATCTGGAGCAGCAGTACTGAGCTTGGTCTCTGTTCTCATTGCAGTTTGCAGCAATCTTTAGGTTCTAAAGTTCATAAATATCTGTAATACAGGGCCTCAAATCCACAATGGCTCTCCTTAAACTTGTGCTTTTTTGTATTCATAGGGATCGCCTAAATTTATTTTATATTCTCACATTTCCATCCTCATGACAGGTGTTGGCAAAATTCCTAATAATTCAGAGATGTGTAGTGATGTGGCTCAGTGGAGGAAGGCTTCCCAAACACTTGGTGAACTCCTGTGAATTACATAGAACAATGCAAAGAATTTCTGAACATACTTTTTGTTACCCACTTGCTCATAGACTATGTTTGTGAGAACAGCGATAGAAGTTTGAATTCTGACAAAAATGAAACCGATTTAAAAGTGTTATCAAGGGCAGAGTAAAGTGTGCTTGCTAAGGAAAAATTCCAGAAAGGGCTGCCTGTTAAATCCTCATTGAAAAATTCCTATATGTAGTCATTTGCATGAACATATACAGGTGATATTGTTCTGAATGGAAAGGAATATGGGTATCATTTCTGATTTAACAGCTGATTTAATAGCTTGGTTGATCATAGACAATGTTTAAATATGGAAATGCTCTGCAATGGCCTTTACTAAGTCATGTGAAGAAGATGTCCTAAATTGAAATTGTGCAGGAATATCAATAGTTTAGGCATGAAGGGTTTCCTGCTTACGGTGGATCAGAAGAGCATGGAAAGGATGTGGAAGTGACTGGCAGGACACAGTATGCCAATAGGAGGACATACAACAGAGAGGGTCTTCACTGAAAGTCAGGTATTCTTAGGGCAAGCATGAAGTTAAGGGTGGCTTATTGTTTCTTCCTTCAGGTGAATAACACCAGCTCTGGTAACAATCATTATTCCACACCTCTGTAAACCCATGAATTCTGTGTTCTTCACTTGAGATCCAATTTTGATTATCTCTAATTATGACCCAGTGTCATGAAAATGAAAGTTGAATTTTTTTTGTACCAAGATTCGAACTCATGATCTCAAGCTTGCCATTTAGGTTTTCATGCTGCTGAGCTAAACACCCAGCTCTGAAAGTGTTTTCTGTATATTATGGATGATATCAACCTTGTTCCTCAGAAAATGTTGAACATTGTGGAATTTTTCTATATTGTATGGCTAATTTTTTTAAAGCAAACCAAAAGTGACTTATGCAGTCACTTTTCAAGTTTCACATTGTCTGTGGGGTGTCTCAGTCAGGGTTTATCTATTTCAGACCGCTTTGTAACTTAGGCTAGCCCCAAACTCAAGGCAGTTTTCCTGCATGAGACTCCCAAGATATATTTCTTATATCTGAATGTAAAGTGATCACTTGGTGACACTGAGCTATAATTTGAAGCTTGTACCTGGTTTCATTGTTTATTCATTTTTTACATACAGCAGTTTTCTATGAACATTTGAGTTATTATTTATATAACATTTGATGTTATTTATGTTTTGTTCTATGAAACAAAATTTAAATATCAAAATGCTGCTTAAGTATATTAAGAACAAAGAACTCAGTGGCCTAAATGAGATTTGAAGAGATATCATTGGTAGTACATCAAAGTGATTGATGAGATATTTGTCTGTCTCTGTGCTTTATGGATGTTGATCCTGCAGGCTCCCACTATAAGCTCTGCTTTAGAGACAGTGAATAGGGACTCTTGCACTGACTCACTACAAGAATCAGTGCTCCTATTTGGCTGTAGCATTAGCAGTGAGTTCCAATCTAGTATTAAATGTGCTGTCTCAAAAAATGTGTATATACAAAAAATTAATGCCTGAGACATGAAATTAAGATTTGATGGAATCAGTCTCCATTCAGCTGTTTTGTTTGGATTTATTTGTTTAGTTTAGTGTTGTTTTATTGAAACAAGTTTTCTGTATGTATATCAGCTAGATTTGAACCCCTAAGACAGCTCAGAATTGCCCTAACCTCAAAGCAGCACTCCTGTTTCAGCCTCTTAACTGTAGGGATTATAGATATGTTATTTTTACCCCAGAAAATATTGAGGCTTGTAACTTAGCCATGTTGTAGCTTGGCATAATAGATGCCATTTTGAGCTTCGCATTTAAATGGTGCCCTGTATTTCACCCAGCAAAATGGAAAATCACTCAGTGCAGAAGTCCCAGGAGAAAAGCAAAATGAGCTGTACCCAATGAAAAAAATTAAGTTGCTCACCAAAGAAGCAGAATACAGTTGGCATCCAAAAATTATTATAAGATTCTAGCTAAATGATTTCCAACAGGATATTTTGTGATTCTATCTTTTAAAACATCTGTAAATTTCCAGTTCAGAGCCTCTTGTTTAGATCCTGAAATGGGGTTAGGGGTTCTGTATCCAAGTGATC